ATCGATTAAAATGTGTGACGATTCAAATCGGTTGAGATGCCAAACCAATCGCGATACAGTTGGAGCAGGAGTTTATATGAATGTATCTCTGAGGGGAACTGACTGTCTTTAGAAAAGTTTACGTGGTATTTTCTTTTCATCTTGCCTCTGAACGATGCATATTAAAGAAGTGTTCATAAGCGCAGCGCTGCTTTGTTTACAGCGGTAAACACTGTTTCATTGCTGTTCATAAGCGCCACCTGCTGGCAGAGAGTGCATCTGCGTCTCATTCAGCTCACCCGCTGTTTCCTTCAGATATGTTTTATGTCGTATAGTTTCACAAAACTAAAGTCAGACCATTCTGTTTTTGCTTCAAATTTCGAAATTACACAGTCTAATTTAGATTAAAAACTGCTCATGCTGCATGTATGCTGCATCTTTGTTTGGATGATGATTAAAATCCAGTGGTTGCCTCCCATTTTAAATGGAAAGAGCACAGACAAAGCCTTAGTTTGTTTATACGAAGAGATTACTTTTATTTGTGTAACTTATTTGATTTGAGGTTTGTTTTCAATTTCACAAAGAAACGTGCAGCAATAGCCTAATAAAAGGACACCTTTTCATTTACTGTATAATCTCATTTTGTTAAAAATAATAGTGAAATCAAAATCGTGAGTTGAGTGAATCGATACATCCCTACGCATTACTTTTTAATTTACAAGAAAATATCGAATATATGTTTTCCCATGCATTGACAGAGTTCTCTTATCCCCATGTTGAGAGAAATCGGGAGAAAGTAGAGGCATTTATTGTGTTCCCCATGTATGGCTAGTTCTAGACTAAATGTGAACATGCATTTACTCATCTCACTTGCACAAAAACAGATTCAGTATTGCTCAAAATGAATAAAGAACAGTGAAATGCAAAATCTGAATATGATGCAAATCTGCAATAATTAAATGGTAAATGACACAAATAATCAATATATGCATTTAATCCCGTTTTATTAAACAATGTCTTTGCTGCTGAGCTTTCAATCATACTATTAAGCACAAATTACTTTAGATAAACTAGCAGACTTACAGACATTAATTTACTTTTCCTCCAGACTGAGGCTTATTCATTTCACTTTTTGGTGTGAAAGGGATTTTACATTTACCAAAAATAGAACTTTATATATATATATATATATAAAACAAAATAAGCCAGCCCAGCCCAGATTTGAAAAGTAACGCAAAAGGTAACGGAACGCATTACTTTCCATAAAAAATAACTAAGTAACGTAATTAGTTACTTTCAGTGTTGGGGAGTAACTATAGTTACATGTAACGGAATTACGTAATTTAATTACAAAATAAATGTAACTGTAATCAGTTACAGTAACTGAGAAAAAAATGTGTAATTAACTTAGTTACTTATGAAAATGTTAACGATTACAATATTTTTTCACACACATCCACAAACAGATTTCATTGATTTTTTTTTTCATAAATTGCACTGCCTGCTCTAAAATACGCGACACCAATATTTTAGCAGCTTAGGACACAGAATATGACTTATTCGATAACTCTTTTATTTTCTACTTGGGTTTATGTACAGTATATGCTTTATTTTGCTGTTACAAGATTAACTATGCAAAGATTTGATTTCAAAAACGGTATCCTAGCTATTTAATAATTATTTTTGTTATGATTTTAAATCTGCATTTAACTTCAGAATGTCACTGTAGAGTTAACCCTGCCTGGTTTAAATGTTTGAATGTGATAAACAGTTTCAAAACTTTACAAATTTGGAAAAGTAATCAAATGTAATCAGTTACATTACTTTAATAAAGTAATTGAAATAGTTACACTACTTATTACTTTTTAAACAGGGTAACTTGTTTCCAAAGTAACCTTTCCAACACTGGTTACTTTCTTAACGCAATATTGCAATGCATTACTTTTAAAAGTAGCTTTCCCCAACTCTGCGCGTCATGGGCTTACCTCCCACTATCTCCAGCGGGTCGAGCGTGATCTCAGGAGCGGCGTGATCCGCTGTGCGCTGGACGCTTGCGTTCAGCACCCGGTTCATAAAACTCACTTTGGTGTCGTAAAAAATCAGACCTGCAAATGAGATCAAGAGAAACAGGATTTATGTTTATTAGACAGTGTAGCTAGTGGCGTTCGACGCTGAAGATGTTATTGTTCCTGATTTCTTTTGGCTGGTGTTAGTTAAGTGTGTTTATGTTTTATTAATTTCTTTTCTTTAGCACCGCGCTCGTCCCTCACTTTGTTGTCTTTAATCCCTCATAATTTGTAATTAGATATTTATTTTTTGGTTTATTGCATTATTGGGTGTTTTGTTATACTGAATTATTTGTCTTACTAAAAGCAAGTTCGAATTCAGTTTAGCCTCTGCCGGTTTCTTAACCTCACGCCTCACATCTCTTTAGCAGAGTAAAGTATTTTTAGCTTAAATAACATTTTATTTATTTAATTTTTCATGTGTTACCTCCCACAACCCCTAGACACCAAGTAATTCGGGAGACGTAACACTGATGCTTGTGAAAAATAACAGCTCTTAATTGCACTTGTAGTGTGCTTCAAATCTTAAAAGTATATTTTTAAAAGACCGTACTTGCAGATAATGTAATATTAATGAAATAAAAGGCCACTTACTTGTACTTAAAGAAAGACACTTTTATAACAGTCAATACACTTTAAAGTACACTTTAAATAATTGTTTTAATAATCTTTTGTCGTGTTTTAAAGAAGTACACTTATTTTGATGTGTTGACTAACATACTAAAGCACATGGAAAGTACTTGATTATCAGTTTAACTGTAGTATATTAATATATTTCGATGTACTAAAACTTAATCCGTACAAATGTGTAATTACAAATATATTTAAATACATGACATACAAGTTTCAATATAAATGTCATTAAAGTATATTTTAGTTTATCAGAAATGCTTGTCAGTACATTCAGCAGTACTTTAACCATATTTCAAACACAATAGTAATTCTGAAATTACACAAAGATGTACTTAAGTCCTACTTAAGTGGATTAAAAACACTCTAAAGTTCAGCTACTTGCATTTTATATAAATGTAAACTACAACACCTTTTCATTTAATTGCGATTAACATGCAATTAAGTATCTGAAAATATTACGTTCAGTTCACACTTAAGTATATTATTTTAAAGTCTATTATTTTTGTAATAAATGCTCTTTTTGAAAGTATGCTGAAGTGTACTTTTTTTCAAGGGAATTTATACATTTTTTTTTGCCAATTTTATTTGCAAAAATTCTCTCAGAATAGCAAAACATCCTACATATATGAAATATAGTGAGAAATCACCTTTATTATGAAGCACTTTGGGTGTAATTTAGTACAGCGATGGTATCAGATGGTAATACCATGGTATTTTAATAATATACTGTGGTATTTAATGTTTAACATTCATGAAAGAATACTATGGTATCACCGCAGTACTAGAGCATGTAAAGAACAAGAACACACCATGAACATTTTTGAGTTACACAAATAAATGGAAAACTGACTGTCCAAATAAAAAAGTGCATTAAAATCATTACGACAAACACAATGCTGCTTCATTTCACACTGCCAAGAAAATAATACTGATCACCAATATTCAATATATTGAAAATAATCAATATATTCCCCAGCCTATTAAAAAAACATGGTACTTTTTGGTAGCCTTCTATATAGCTACTAAAGAAACAATCCTGACCAGTGTCATAAGTGTGCCTGTGTATTCGATGACTGACCTTTGGCCTCGCACAGAAGCGTCGCAATGCTGTTTTGATAGGTTTGCGTCAGCCTCAGCTCGACTAACGGCAGGAAGAAGCTCTCCAGCGTGCTGTTGAGCGACTGCAGCAAAGCAAACCGCAGACGCAAACTCTCCACTGGAACGCCTGTGTGATCAGAGTTACCTTCAGTGCACACTGGGGTTAAAACATGCTGACTCCACGTCTCACAATCCAAATCTAACACCATAACGTAACATGCACTTGCCTAGTAAGCATGCGACCTGGGGGTCGGCGGTGTCCTTGGCGTCGAGGTAAACTTCATGAGGATGCAAGCGTGCAGGAGTGATGGCCAGGTGTCGGCACAGACGGTTAGCAAACTGGACCAGTGCAAAGTCCATCTCAAAGGTCCATTTTCTACTGGCTTTCTGAGCGTGTCGGGAGTCGATGCACGTGCATCTGAAACAAATAAACACCATTAAGATCTTTAGAGAGTTGCATTCATTATTCTAGCCATTTATTTTATAAATTTTCAGTTTATTTGAAAACCAGAACAAGGAAGACCTGCAGAAACATACAGTAGTATGGATGTTTGGGGGCCTGTTCTCAAGAATAAAATGTGACCCTGTACCACAAAATCAGTCTTAAGTGTCAATTTTTTTAAATTTAGATTTATAGATCATCTGAAAGCTGAATAAATAAGCTTTCCATTGATCTATGGTTTGTTAGGATAGGACAATATTTGAAAATATTTAAACTATTTGAAATCTGGAATCTGAGGGTGCAAAAAAAATCAAAATACTGAGAAAATCGTCTTTAAAGTTGTTCAAATGAAGTTCTTAGCAATGCATATTACTAATCAAAAATTAAGTTTTGATATATTTACAGTAGGAACATTTCAAAATATCTTCATGGAACATGATCTTTACTTAATATCCTAATGATTTTTGGCATAAACGAGAAATCAATCATTTTGACCCATACAATGTATTGTTGGCTATTGCTACAAATATACCCCAGCGACTTAAGACTGCTTTTGTGCTGCAGGGTCACATTTGTTTCTTAAATTTTCTTACTTGAGAAAAAACATACAAATATTTTGCACTACAAAAAAATCTTAAGAATATTCTTATCGTTCCTTCATTTTTAAGATAAAACTTAGATAGAATTAAAATTCTTAAAAACAATCTTTTTAAAAAGCATTGTAAATGACTACAAAGCTACCTCCAATTTGTCTCTAATGTGTTTAATGAATTTATTGTGTGGTTTAAATTATTTAACTAATTTATTGAGCATTACAACATAACACTAGCTACATATAATACATAATACCAGTACTAGAAATGTGCTTGTTCTGTATAGTGACACCAAAGATCGATAATGTAAACAACGATCCGTCATGAATATGCATGAAGTGTCTCTTCGCTGAATTTGAAATCCAGTAAAAACGAGTTTTTAATTTTATAATTATGACAATTTCCGGAAGCATTATAGAGCAAAAAAAGATGTAAATGAATGCGATGGCTCTTTAAAAAGACACAGTGCATTAAAACACGCTTCCCAAGTTCTGGATTCCCGTCAAATCAGGTGAAAATTCTTATGGAATTCTTAGAATTTATCTTAAGAAATTTCTTAACTTTAAAATTCTTTTGAACAAACCTTTCAAAGTGTAGGTCGTAACCGCACGCCAGGATCGCCCGCCAAACACTGCGAATATCCTGCTTGGCTCTGTCTAGAGTAAACTTGTGGAAACCTTCCAGGGTCAGAAACTTCTCTTCTGGCACTGATGGACAGAGGAAGGGTGAGGCGTTAAGATTTATGAGCTTCCACCGAAACCGATCATGTATTCGTTTTTTGTTAATAAATTCAGAAATCAAGAATGGTATTGTATTAACCTTCAAGCTTTTTGGCAGGAGACTTTTCAGGGTCTTTTTCATCAGGTTTGGTCTTCTCTGGAGATTTTGGCTTAAGGACTGTTTTTTTCTCACTTAGTACAGTTCTGGAAAAACACCATGCAGGAATATGCAGATAATTTTTATTACTTGGAAAAAAAAAAAAACACCTAATTGATATTTTTAAAATATATATATCTTCACTTAAATAAATTAATAAAATAAAAAACATTTTTTTATTATTTTTTAAATTATTAATTAATAAAATTAAATTAATTAAAAATTAATTAAAAACATTTATAAAACACAATTTTAAAACAATAAAATGATAACTGAAAATATAAAAATAAAAACTAATTCAAAAATGTATAGTATTTTTTATTAATAAAAAATAATAGTATCTCAAATAATACATAAAATAACACTGGTACTATACATCTTATGGCGGCAGATGAACTACTTTTATATATTTCAAATGAAAAACAATGGTTAATTAAAATGTATCTTAAGGTAAGGGATGCTTGTATTCAATTAAATATTCAATATGTTAAATAATTTAAATAAATTCACTATAACAAATATTTGATCTTTTGGCAGTTTACACTTACAAGTTGTCAGTACTCACCTAACACTGTTCAGCATGGACTTCTCTTTGGCCGGGGGTTTGGTGATGGGTCTTTTTGTGCTGACCACTTTGCCTTGGTGCTGCTCTTTGCCTGCCTTGCTGTGCTTGTTTTTGTTGGGCTTTACTGTGCCATATTTACGGAGAATCTACATGTGCAATTAACAAAGGTTAATAATTTCTGCTTTGGTCCGGTCAAATACTTTGTGTCTGTTCAACTTGGCCTTAAAACTGATGCTAACAAAAAAACAAACTAACAGGAAAAGTTAATAGAATGGTAACACGTGTGGATTACAACTAGGAAATTTTCATAATAATCATTGTTTTTGTTAATTATTAATAATAACTGTTAATACTTAATAATAATTGTTAATAATTATTTTGCAAAATGCATGTGGAAGACTCAAAGTGACCATGTGCATGTAGTGGATGTTTTAAAAATTGTAATAAAAAAAAAAAACTATTTTTTCGGCAAATATCGGCTGATATAACAGCCTTGGCAAAAACTTAACGGCCGATACTGATCATTAAAAAGGCTAAATAGCAGCCGCAATATTGGCCTTGGCAAAAACGTAACAGCTGATACTGATATTTTTTCGGCAAATATCGGCTGATATAACAGCCTTGGCAAAAACTTAACGGCCGATACTGATCATTAAAAAGGCTAAATAGCAGCCGCAATATTGGCCTTGGCAAAAACGTAACAGCTGATACTGATAATTAACAAACAATGCCAAATATCAGTAACATATCAGCACTGGCAAAAACGTAACGACCGATACTGATAATTAAAAAAGCTAAATATCGGCCGATATATCAGTCTTGCCAAAAACCTAATGACCGATACAGATAATTAAAATAAAATAATATGTTTCATGATAAATTAGTAATTTAATAATAATAAATTAATTACTGTTCCGAGGTTTTTACCTGCGTGAGCTGGTCATCAAGCACCTTCTTGGGAGGCCGTATGTGTGTAAAAAACACGTGGAGCAGGTTTCCTGGTGTCTGAGAGTTGATCTGCTCTTTGCTCAGATAAATGTCCGATACTTTCACTGGTTTTGTTGGTACGGAGCTCAGCACCTGCTCTGCGTAAATGCAGCTCTTAAAGATGTCTGTCAGCACATCACGTGCTTCAGGAACCAATTTATCTCCTATAAGAACAAAACATAATTAAACCTGATATCAAGTCAAAGCAAACCCTTGTGAAAAGAATTACAGAATAAACACACCTATTTGTAACATTCTGGGATAAAGAAATCAACGAACCTCTGATCGATTTGTCAAGGAAGTACTCCTCCAAGGCTGAACTCCCTTGTGTGTCAAACAAACTCTGATTTACACTGGAGGCGGTGAGGATCTCCTCATTGGTCATCTCCATTAGCTCCTCCTCTCTTTCCAGATTAGAAAGGCCAATGAGATCACTGCTGTTAAAAAGACTGGCCCGAATCTTCTCTACTTGGGCCCGTGCCCTCACCTGTAAGACAAAAGCAAAAAAACATAACATTATTTGGTATCGAATTTCTTTCACAAAACGGTTAGTGCTACTAGTGTTGCTAAGGTGTTCTAAATGGTTGCTATGCAGTTGCTAGGGTGCTCTAGGTGCGTTTTATCATTGTCTGAAAATCTGGTGAAGATGTGATGAATGCAGTAGGAAGAGTTTGAAAAAGTCTCAGCCAAATTAATCAAAAAAGTTCTAAGCATATTTAAATAATTTGTCATATTTTGTACAACTAGGTGGCAAGAACTGGCGTTCTCAGCGCTGTCAAAATAAAAGTCCTGCTTCTGACACTTATCAGCCCAACAACCCCCCCCAAAAAAAAAGCGTAATGACCGATGCTGATTATTAAAAGCCTTCAGCCTTGGCAAAAACTTAACACCCAATACTGATCATTAAATAGGCTAAATAGCGGCCGCAATATTGGCCTTGGCAAAAACGTAATGGCTGATACTGATAATTAACACACAATGCCAAATATCAGTAATATATCAGCACTGGCAAAAAACTTAACGACCGATACTGATGATTAAAAAAGCGAAATATCGGCCAATATATCAGTCTTGCCAAAAACCTAATGACCGATACAGATAATTAAAAAATGCCAAATATCGATTTATATATTGGTCTTGCAAAATAACAGTCGATCAATACTGGATATCATTCAACTCGTCTCAAGAAATCCAAAGTAGTAGGGTAAACCAAAATAACCCCCCAAAAAAAAAAGGCGACTGATAATTGCTTGATAATTGATGCTGATAATTAAAAAAGGCCAAATATCGGCTGATATATCAGCCTTGGCAAAAAATGTACAACGTATACTGACAAGTAAAAAAGGCGAAATACCAGCCGATATATTGGCTTTGGCAAAAACTGATAATTAAAAAAGGCTAAATATCAGCCGATAAATCGGCCTTGCAACATAACAGTCGGTAAATACACATGCACAGGAACCGTGCATTTTAAATTTGTCATACTTTTCCATAAAATAAACATTGTCAAACATCTGTTATGATGTGCTTATTTGCAAAAGGAATATAAGTGCATGTCAAAATAAATGAATCTGAAACATTAGCATGGCATACCATATCAATAAAATCAACGCTAATTTAAGTATGAACAACAGTAATAAAGATGCTTGTAAACACCACTCGTTTTATATTACTGTTGCCGGTCCCACCCACCTCTATGACAGCATAGCCTTTGACTGGTCGTGTCACACTGGCATGGATGTCTGGTGAAGCAACTGTGTACATGGAGCTCCCATCTGAGACTGACGTCGCACCACTATCCAACTGCTCCCCAATGCTGCCGAGACTACCTTGACTTCCTGTGCTACAAAGAGACACATCCAGACTCTCCTGACTGGAGACCGTGTGGGGATCCAGCGGTGCATGTGGCTGGGAAGGTGCTGTTTGAGGGGTTACCAACTCTTGGTTCACTAGCAGCTCACCGGAAGCCCTGGAAGCTCCCTGTAAAGAGCCGGAGACCGATGTCTGGCTCGCTGAAGCCGAGGCACTCATTGCTGGCGTTGAGCTGTTGCTATTTGGGCTTCCTGCAGTGCAATCTCGCTTTGCATCTTGGAGAATACCTGAAGTTTCAGCTTTGGCTTTTTTAGGGTCCTCCTCTTGAACAGGAATAAAGATCTCATCCTTGAAGAGACCGCCGTGTGCGTTGCAAGCCCTTCGGATTGCATTGCGCACCACGGATTCCTCCAAGTGAGTGGGGATTCCTGAGAGCACAAGCAAACGACTGTGAGCGGTGGAGCCAACCAAGGCTTGGCAAGCATCTGCAACCGCATCTTCAGTGACGCCCAGACCTTGCGGGTCCTTGTTAGCAAGGTGCCGCAAAATCAAGAGTAACGTCAACCCACGGTGAAACCACAACATGTCCTCTGGCTTCCCTCCGGCCATGTTTAGTAAAGCACTGTCACATTCTGATGGTCTCGCTCCACTTCCAGAACCATGTTTCCCTGAGACGACAGCTGCCGATGCAACTGTGACCGCTGCCCGTTCGTGCTTTAGCTTCACCTTTTTGCGCTTCGAAAGCAAGCTTGGACTTTGGGGCGTTTGGCCCGGAGAGGATGATGAAGAGGATGAGGAATCGCTACAGTTGGTGGCACTTGTAGACGAGGGGACGCCTACTACCGATGTCCCCGCACCCGTACTGAGTGGCAGAGTTACTTCGGCGACTGCCAGACACACCTCCATCAGGGCATGGAAGTAGGTTGAGAAACGGCTCCGCTCGGTAACGAGCGCAAGCGCTCCGCTGCTACCCGCTGCGGAAGTGCAGGAACCTCCGCTAACTGGCCCCCAGTTTTGGGTCTCGTGGTCGTAAAGTTTTCGTAGCTCGGATTGAAGAACCATAAGGACTGTTAGGCAAGGGTTGAGAAGCAATGTAATGTGGCTAGACAGCCCCGAGGGGGTTTTGCGACGCTCGAAGGCGTGGATCTTGCGGAGAAGCTCCGCAAGCAAGTGGAAGATCAGCTCCTTGATGCACGGAGCAAGATCGGTGGTCCACAGAAGCCCACCTAAACACAGATAAAGCAAGTGTGATGCTGAAAAAAGAAACTGCATGGGAAGTTTTACTAGCATGTTTCATTTGATCCTTGGGGGAAAATAAATGAACATTTCTTACCCAGCAACTCTACAACCTGCATTAGCACAGAAGTGGGCACAGTGTCCAGCTCATCCTCAGAGCGGTCAATGGTTTCCCCTATGGTGTAGGTTAGCAGCTGTTCAGCAAAGGCCATGGCCAAGGGAAACTCAAGAGGCAACGAGTGCAATACCAGCACTGCACCAGGAGGGGGAGATACACCTGCAGACAGTGACCAGAATAGGAGTTAAATATGCCATGAAAAGGAAAATCACGCTCTATTTTCTAAATGCATCTTACTGATCTTATGCTGTGGTCACACTAGCCTTTGAGCATGCGGCCTACCCTTGTGAAAAAGAAGTACACTTTAGCATACATCTAAAAAGAGTACTTATTACGGAAATAATATCTTTTAAAAGAAAATACTTAAGTGCCAGCTGAATGTTAATTGCAAATAAATGAAAAGGGTTTAAATGTATATTAAATGCAATTAGCTGAACTTTGGACTGCTTTTTTGACCCAAGTAGGACTTAAGTACATCTTTATTCTATTGTCTTTGAAATATGAAACAATCACTTAAAATCACTTCTACAGAAACTTATAAGTCATGCATTTAAAAATATTTGTAATAACACATTTATAACGATGACGTTGCAGTTTAGTGCATTTAAAATATATTAACCTTGAATGTAATATTGAATTATAATCAAGTACTTAACATGTGCTTTATTATGTTAGTCAACACATCAAAACTTCTCTAAAGTACGACTAAATATTTTTAAAACAATTTTAAAAGAATTTCCAAAGTAAAACTTACAAAGCTCACTTTTTAAAAGTGTACTTAAATGTGTTAAGAAAATGTCATGAAAGTGTCTCTCTTTAAGTCACTTAGGTGGCCTTTTATTTTAAAATATTATAAAAAAAAAAAAACATTTTTTTTTAAATACACTAATAAAATTTGAAATACACTTCAAGATTTGAAGTGCACATCCACTATAATTAAATGATGGTGATTTAAGTGGCCACTTTGCTCACTATTGTATACAATTTTAGCCAAGTAAAAACATTTTTATATATATTGAACATACCGAGTAGAATCTTATAAGTAGGTAAAATCCAAAAATGTATCTAACAATGTAACATGTATTTGACATGCCTAGTTTGACATGCACTTTGTCAGTGGGGATGATGATGCTGGGATACTGGTTGGCTGTGGGTGGAGGGGTGAGTCCTGTATTGGACGGGGAGGCATCCAGTGGGTAGCACACTGCCTCCATCAGATTCAACTGGCCGTTTCGTCGAACCTTATGACCAAGTCCATACACCATTAAGCGAGTCCAAGGGGCCTTGTATAGAGAGGAGCTAAGAGAAAAACATGACATGCAAAAAAATTCTTACACGGCAAGACTCCCTGCTTAATGAAAGCAAGACGCAAAAACAGGTCATTTAGAAATACGAGTGCTTGTGATATCCATAGAGAAAACATGCCTAATGTTGTGTTGTCAGATAATCAACAGAAACTCACTCTTTACGGCAGCTGAGTTGGCTCTCTTTGCAAGAGACGACCACAAAGGCGGCACCAGGGAAGTTCACGTCCATGCTGACCTTGGACTCTGTGATGGGAAACTCTTCCAGTGTGAACTGCTCTGGAGCGCTCTGAATGTTCAGCAAACATAAAAACGTAACCACAATAACTAATAATAATTTAACACAGTGCACTTTCAGGACTAAGGCCCGGTTTCACAGACAGGGCTTAGACTAAGCCAGGATTAGGCCATAGTTCAATTAGGACATTTAAGTAATTTTTATGAACGTACTTAGAAAAAAACATTACTGGTGTGCATCTCGAGATAAAACATATATTTTAAGATCAGTCAGTGCAAGTTTCTTTCAGTTGAAACAGCTCAGACTTGCATTTTAGTCTAGGATTAGGCTTAAGCCTTGTCTGTGAAACCGGGGGTGTTTCTTAACACACTTTAGTACAAAACAGTTAAAAAGTGCACTTTTTATTTTGGATAAATTTAAATATGACAAAATATAATGTTTGATTTGCAATCAGTATTTGCAAAGTAATTTATAGCGTACTCACAACAGTGCTATAAAAATTTGTAAATATCTAAATGATAGATGTCTTTCTGATCACACACGAAAAAAGAAAATAATATTGAGGGAAATAATAGGTTTATTTTTTTAAAGGCTATTCTGTCATTTTTGCTTTAGAAAAGTTTTTTTGCAAAATTTTGAACTATCAGGGTTATTACTGTCAACTAACTAAAACCATAAAAATATTTATTTGAAATAAAATGAACATTAACTGAAAAAAAAAGACGGAAATAAATTAAAATGTATTTTATTTCAGCTAATTGCCAACATTTTTCATTTAGAGTTTAACTACTAAAATAACAAACCAAAAACTAAAACTTAATAAAAAACTATAAAAATAAAAATAAATGACTAAAGCTTGAACTAAAATTAAAATGAATGAATAAATGAAATGAATAAAAAGAAAACATAAAATATAAAATATGAACAAAAACTAGTATATCAATGATATTAAAATAATACTGATCTGATTTTATAATACTATAAAAATCATGATTTTCAAAATAATAACATATCCTGTAGAGCAGAGTCCTGATAAGTGGACACAGATCAGTTGTGAGGCGTTGGTACCTGCAGGAAGCAGCAGATCTGTTTAGTGAGCTCGAGGAGGCTGTCCTCTCCCTGATGCAGGGCTCTGCTGATGGCCACCGTCAGCCACTCGCGGATGCTCTGAGCGTTTCCCTGATAGAAGAGCTCGGTCGGGGAGCAGCTCTCGCCCTGCAGCTCGTGGAGGACAGACTGAGCCAGCAGAATAGAGTTTGAGCTGATTCTGCCATCTACAGACGCCAAGGGGAAATCAACAAATACAGAAATGTGAGTTTTATTATGATGGATGCACTTCAGACATTTTATATATATATATATTTTTTTTTAGAATGTATTAAAAGGAATAGTTCACCCAAAAATGAAAATTTGCTGAAACCACACACAAGCCATCTAATACGTAGATGAATTTGTTTCTTAATAGGAATGTATTTGGAGAAATGTAGCACTGCATCAGTGTCTCAGCAATGGATGCTCTGCAGTGAATGGGTGCCCTCAGCCACACCA